CCACATGTATGAACTAATCTCTCTCTATTAGTATTACGCAAACACTGTGCATACACACCACCCTTTTTTTTTTTTTTTGGCTAAAGGCCTCATAATCATGTACAGTGATTTGCTAACCCCGAGATACCTAATTCATGAGTATCTAGAGAGAGCACAAGTGTAACATCCCGTGTATACCCGGTTTGTTAACATGTCATCGTATTAAGCCACACTTAATTAAAAATGCGGAATATCTTTTTCTTTTCAATTATGATGTCATTATCAATTACCAAGTGGATTACTTAATTCTCTTTCAAAACATTGCCTGTATGTAAATTGCAATTAAACAACTAACTGAAATACCTCATTAAATAAATAACTGAAAGTGGGTCTCTAGTCACGGAACTACAACACGTAGACTGGACAGATCCTGATAGTTTATACAACTCAAATAAACTTAAACAGCGTCAAGTCAATGTGGCATGGATAATCCCCATGCTCACCAAATACACAGCATACTCATCAAGTCTCAAAACAACCAGCATGATAATGGATAAGGTATAATCACTAAACAGGTACATCAGCATAATCAGCAAGCATATCAATAAACTAAGCTTCGACCTTCTGCCGCTAGAAGTCTCAACCCCTGGGTTACCTGAACCTGAAATAAGCGCCCCAAACGTGGGATGAGATCTCTAAACAGAAATCTCAGTAAGGCAAGGGGTCCTCAAGGATTTCTCCACCCCAAGCTCACTTACATGTGCAATATAAATTCCAAAAGCAGTTTAACAATATGAGTTCCAAAATTAGTGCAATGCAACAGATAATCATGTCATGTGAGTTAACTATTCTACTGGCCAGAGAAATGCAGGATTTACACACGTCTATTACCCACATAGTACACACCCATGCCATACCTGCCCACAAGATCATCATCTCGTCTAGGCGAAACATCACATACATATCATAAGCATTTGCACTTAACAACTCAAAAGTATTTCAATAAAGCAATACATGAAAACACATCATGCATATAAACCATTCTCCCATGGGGTATGGTGGAACCAACAATGGCTAAACCGAGGACACGAAAGCTTACCTCTAAGCAATTAGACCAATCCAAGGTCCACACCCGCTCAAAGTCCACACACAGCACAATCACAATCTGTTTGGACCAACAATCATATCAATATTCATACTCTACAACATTATGACAAAAGACAAAGCTTTCCTTTTACGTTTCATGTTTTTAGGCTTCCCACAAAGCCATAAGCCCTTAATCATTTAGATTCTGACTTAGATTAATTATTACAGAAGTCCACAATAGCCCATCATGGGTCCACAAGCCCAAAATAACATTTTGTATGAACAATACAACTACTGTCTTAAAATTCCCAGAATATCTGGATATTTGTCGGGACAATATCCGGATATCAATATCCGAATACCATATCCGGATATCCAGATATCCAGATTCGGATATCACAAGACCCCATATCCGGATATCAATATCTGGATATCATATCCGGATATTTCGTGACAAAATACAGTTTCTGCATTTCGCGAGATATCACTCCAAAAGTTCATCCTTTAACCATTAGGACGTCCAAGCATGCATTTTTAAACCCTTTTAGGTCAGTTATCACGTTGGTTACATGTTTATTTTAATAAACATGCCAAGACTCAACTTTTAACAATGAAAACTTATGATCAAGTTTCAACAACTTACCCCAAAGGTTCAAAACATAAAAGGAATGCTCTTGGAGTTCCCACTTAAGCTCCAAAGGTGCTGACCACTGTAGTACACGAAAATGGCACACAAAACTTGGTTTTTCTTTACAACGGTTGCCACTTTGAGTTCTCACAACCAAGGAAAATGGCTTCCACAACTCAAGCCATGGAAGTAAGCCCACAAACTCCAACAACAGAGGCAGAACACTCAGAAAAAAGGGAGTCTCACTTACTCACAAGGCCACTTCACACTATCTCAAGGTGCTAAGGTGAAGGTTTAATGAATGAAAAGGTCTCTTTGCTCACAAAATGGAGGAGAAGAGAAGGTGACAAGCTTGGGAGGCAACCAGCTTCAGAAACGGAGGCACAACATGTTTTAAAATCTGACCTAGGGACATATGCCCTCATATTTATAGGGGTATCAATTTTAATCACATTGTATTAGCGCTAATAGCTACGCTTAGCTTTTTAATCCCAAACTTAGAATTCTGAACCTACTCATTTTTCTAAGATTTATCATATTTTTATTTTATTTTTTGCTACACCTTTCCGGTACGCGCTTTTACATAGCCAGTATCAGTTCTGGCACCAGTTCTCATTATTTCATCCTGAAACTAGTTATACCAGTCCTACATATCATTCTAGGAATATTCTCACACTTATTATAATTTTTCGGGATACTTCATTGGTACGCATTTATACCGTGAGCAGAATCGGTGTAAGAACCTGAACCGTTAATTAAGGAAGTTAATTAATTAATTATGAGAAATTAGGAAATAATTCCATAATTCACCCTAATAATTATTATGAGGCTTAAATAATTATGATAAGTGAGTAATAATGCTGAGAGTCACTTTTCTGACGAAAAGTGCAGATACCGGTTCTGCTACTCAGTATAAATGCGTACCGATGAAGTATCCCGAAAAATTATGAAAAGTGTGTATATGTCACTAGAATAATATATAGGACTTGTAAAATAAGTTTCAAGTTAAAATAATGAGAATTGGTGCCAGAACTGATACTGGCTATGGAAAAGCGCGTATCGAAAAAGTGTTGCGAAAAATTAAAATTAAAATATGACAAATCCTATAAAAATGGCTAGGTTCAGAATCCTAAGTTTGAGATTAAAATGATAAGCTTAGCTATTAATGCTAATACTGCGCGATTCACTTAAGCGCGCCTATAAATACCCTTGGGAACATGATCCTAGGTCAGCCTCCCTCTCTTCTACGTGAGTTTTCTGAGTTTTGTGACCAGCCACCCTTCTCCCATCTTCTCTCCTCCATTGAAGCTCCAAGAGAGCTCTTTTCCACTTAGTTCCTTCACCAAAGTTGCTTATAAGAGTGTGCTCTAGCCTTGGGTGGGTGAAAGTCCAGCCATTTCTGAGTTGTAGGTGTTGTGTTGTGTGAGGGAGCTGCTGTCTTGGAGGTTGTGAGGTGTAGGAGCCATCTCCATGCCATTTTGTGCTTTCATGGTGCCATTTTGGTGAAGAAAGGTCCAACCTTGTGATTCATTTTCGTGGCTTTGTTGAACCTGAGTTTTGGGTCAGTTTGGAGAGCTCCAAGAGCCTACTTTTCTGCTAAGTTTGAACCTCCATAGGTATACCTTGAACATTCTCTTTGAAATTTCATGAAAATAGCTTGTTTGTGTCATGAAATGAGATAACTTTAATCATTCAAGCTTAAGGTTGTTAATCTAGGGTTAATAAGTGATCATGAACATCTGTTTTGGGTCAGAACCGAACCTTGGATCATTGGGAGTCAGTTTTGCTTCAGATTGTGTAGAAAAATTCTGCAGAAAACTGTTTTGCCCGCGTGGTAATCGATTACCTTTTGTTGGTAATCGGTTACCATGTGCAGTAATCGATTACCATGTTTTGGGTAATCGTTTACCTAGTTCAGTAATCGATTACCATGTCCTTGGTAATCGACTACCACCTGTGAAAATGACCAGAAACCAGTTTTAATGCATGGGAAAGTCCCCATTTGGGCATGATGGCCTAGGAAGTTGGTGTTACTGTTGGGAAACAGTGATACCTTTAATTGAGGGACTTAATACTTGATAATTATGAACTAGAAAAGATGTAAACGAAATAGGAAATGTGTCATGATGAAATGAATCGTTAAAGTATGGTTATTGATGATATTTCTGATATAAACAGACTGTGATTGTGCTGTTTGGTGATATTGAGCTTGTGGACTTGGTTTGGATTGATTGCTTGAGAGGTAAGCTTTCGTGTCTTCGGTTTAGCAATTGTTGGTTCCACCATTTCCCATGGGGAGATGGTTGTATGCATGATGTGTTTTCATGTACTATTTTATTGAAATGCTAATGAGCTGTTAAGTGCAATTGCTTATTATATGTATGTGGTGTTACGCCTACGGGATGCCAATAGGTGGTCCTGTGGGCGGGTGCATCAATGGCTAGTACCGTGTGGGTTTAGATGGATTCCTACACTTCTCTGATCAGTAGAAATGTTATAACACACATGACATGATTATTTGCTGCATTGCACTATTTTGAGAACTTATACTGTTAAACTGCCTTTTGAACTTATATTGCACATGTAAGTGAGATTGGGGTGGAAGATCCTTGAGGACCCCTTGTCTTACTGAGATTTTTTGTTTAGAGATCTCACCCCACGTTTGGGGGCGCTTATTTCAGGTTCAGGTAACTTGGGGACTGATGCCTCTGGCGGCAGGAGACCGGAGTTTAGTTGATTATATATGTTGTATGTTGACATGACTGGATATTTGATGTTGTTTATGTTTTCTGTCATTATTATGATATTTGAATTGAGACTATGTTAGGCTTGTTGTCTTATTAGTGAGCATGGAGTTTGTCCATGCCGCTTTGATGTTAGTACTTTTTAGCTTGAGTTGTATAAACTATCAGGGTTGTCCGGTCTACGTGTTGTAGTTGAGTGACTATAGACATATTTATGCTATTTATATATTGAGGTATTTCAGTTAGCTATCTTTTACAATTTACATACAGGCGATGTTTTTATGAAAAATGATTAAGTAATCAACTTGGCTAAGTATAATGACGTCATAATTGATAAGAAAAAGATATTCCGCAAATTTTAAATTAAGTGTGGCTTAATACGATAACATGTTAATAAAACGGGTTAACACGAGGTGTTACAACCGGTATCTGCACTTTTCGTCAGAAAAACGACTTTCAGCATTCTTAATTACTTACCATAATTATTTAAGCTTTATCATAATTATTAGGTCAATTATGGAATTATCTCATTAATCACATAATTAATTAATTAATTTCCTAAATTAACGGTGCGGCAGTTGGTGATGCTTGGTTGCCAAATCATCCCAGTTGGTGATGCTTCCTTGAGGCAGTGACCACAACCATCCTCTTGCTTCTTCCTTCAGTGAGCATGGGAAGAGTCTGAGCAAGATGGCGTCACGTGAGACTCCATTCATCTTCAATGTATCACAATAGAGCAAGAAATTCTCTAGGTGACTGTAGGGGTCCTCGGTGCTTCCTCCGATGAACTGATCTTTTTGAATCAGATGCAGCAGTGCTGACTTGAGCTCAAAGTTGGTAGCGTCCACATTGGGTCTAACAATTCTCGCCGTCTGCGGAACTCGAGCTAGAGTCATGTAATCTCCCAACGTCCTCGGTGGATTCTGAAGTACGTTGTTGTCAGCCATCGTTTCTTCCTTTGGCTCTGTTGAACTTGATGCTTCTTTTGCTTTTCTTTCTTTTGCGCTTTTTCTGAGTTTTCTGGCTGTCTTTTCTATTTTAGGATCAAACTGCAAGGATAGAGGGTTAACCGTACCTCACATAAACTAAGAGTGAAAGAATATGCAGAAAAACAGAAAATGCGAAAAACAAAAAATAATGAATGCAGAATATGCGGAAAAATTAATGCAGAAACTATTTTTTTTTTCAAAAAATAAAAATAAAAATGAAAATGAAAAAAACTTAAAAACAGAATATTTTTTTTAAGAAATTAAAGTTAAAATAAAAATAAAAAAATAAAAAATAAAATTTAAAAAGTAAAAAAAAAATGCAGAATTTAATTGATGCAGAATTTAAATTTCAGAAATTTAAAACGTCCAATCTAAACAGTTTTTAGTTACTTCTAATGTTGAAGTATCCAATCCCCGGCAACAGCGCCAAAAACTTGTTGCGACTTCGGCAAGTGCACCGGTCATAAAAGTAATAAAGTGTACTGAGTACGAAATCGTTTCCACGAGGATTGGTTTTCAAGCATTAGTTCGCTAACAACGATTTAGTTGGACAATCGAATTTGATTTGAGAGAATTGAAGTTGAACACATGCAATTTAAATTTCAGAATTAAAAAGAATAATTGAAAACATGATGATTGATTAAGAATGTAAAACAAGCGTAGTTAAGGTTTCGACTTCCCCCAATATTCTCTATATGTTATGAATTAAACAATCAAGAATCTTTTCTTAATATATTGTAAATCAATTCTTTCTATGTTAATTAGGGCTCAATTCCTTGTTACCCTAAATCTATGTGATCTTGAAAGAACTCTAGTTCCCCGATTATTCCCCAAGAAAATATGCATTAAGATCAAGAATTTCAAGATTGCACAATTACCCTATGTCTATCCCTAGATCACAAGGATTGTGATAAATTTATCAAATCAGGGTTCATGCACCAACATCCCTATTGTCATACAATTCGCCTAAATCAATCTATAAGGAGCAAACTCATAGAAAGTATTAAAAACAGATAAATTCATTCAAATATAAAAAGAGAAGAATTCACAGACAATTTATTTCATAAACATAAAGATTCAATTGGGTTCCATATACCCTTAACTACATAAAGATCTAGGCTAGCATACTAAATTCAAAAGCAATAATAAAGAAAAGAGAACCCCAAGCCTCCATTGGTGTGATGTTGACTTGGTTCCTCAATGTTCCAGCGCTCCACAACAGGATTCCTCCTTCAGGTCTCTGTGTAATCTCTTGGATTGGAGAATTGGTGTTTTGGTCTGACCCTCAGCTCCTTATTTATAACCATTGAAGCTGTATCCTTCATCAAATCTCTCAATGAATCTCTATCAAATTTGCAATCAAATCTTTAATTGCTTCCTTTTCTTATTTAAGATCTTGCAGATTGGGTGACAGATTGAGCTTCAAATCTTGGTTATGATCCCTCTTCAAATCTTCCCAAGGATCTCTATCAGTTGATAAATTAAGACTGATTTGTTTCCTTTTTATTCAAGAAATATTACAAATCTATATCCTGTGGCAAATCTCCTTAAATCTTCATTAATCTTGGCTTTCTGGTGCGTGTTTGGGCGCTCAAGCACGCTACTGGGCGCTTGAGCGCCCTCCTTCGCATGGAATTCCTGGAGTTGTCTGTCCATACGCGCTCGAGCGGCCATTCGAGCGCGAGCGTGCTCCTCGATGGTGAAATCTTGTAATCTTGGGCGGTTGAGCGTGCTTTTGGGCGGTTGAGCGCCCTGAATTGCTCAATTTGGTTGATGTTCCTGCCTGGACTCGCTCGAGCGTCCATTTCTGCGCTTGAGCGTGCTCTTCTGGCCCTTGACTTGTATTATTTTGGCTTCTTTTGATCCATATTGAGCTGCAACTCTTTGTCATGATTTCTTCATCACTTCTTAACACCAATAAGTGTGGTTTTACCTTCAAAATGCAAAGAAAATCAAAACGTTAAGTCAAATTCCTAACTTATGATTTATATGCTGTAAAACCTTGAATTCCATGCAATCTATGATATATTTGTCATATAATTTTACCTAAACACATGGTAAACCACAGGTTTATCAGAGGCGCAACATGTTTTAAAATTGGACCTAGGGACATGTGCCCTCATATTTATAGGGGTATAATTTTTTTTTTTTTGATAACAATAGGGGTATAAATTTTAATCACACTGTATTAGCGCTAATAGCTACGCTTAGATTTTTAATCCCAAACTTAGGATTCTGAACCTACTCATTTTTTAAGATTTATCATATTTTTATTTTATTTTTTGCAGCCCTTTTCTAGTACGCGCTTTTACATAGCTAGTATCAGTTCTGGCACCAGTTCTCATTATTTCGACCTGAAACTTGTTATATCAGTCCTATATATTATTCTAGGAATATTCCCACACTCACTATAATTTTTCGAGATACTTCATCGGTACGCATTTATACCGTGAGCAGAACCGGTATCTGTACTTTTCGTCAGAAAAGTGACTTTCAGCATTCTTAATTACTTACCATAATTATTTAAGCCTTATCATAATTATTAGAGTCAATTATAGAATTATCTCATTAATCACATAATTAATTAATTAATTTTCTAAATTAACGGTGCGGGTTCTTACAACAAGATTCTATATTGATCCACTAGCCCTTGGCTAGACATCTCTGTCACAGAGATAGAACATTGGCGCCGTCTGTGGGAAACGAGTATTTTAAATCTCACGGAAAACATGGCACGTTCTACTAGGAGTGGCTATCGACAGCCATTGGTATCGAATGCTGAGCCAAGATAAATCCCCGTAATACATGCAGATCTAGCAGGTCAACACGCTCCTGAGAATAAACAGGCGATGGATCACCATGCCATCCACATTAGTGACACACATTCTGATTCAGCATCAACTCCTGCTGTGAATCAGAATGCTCCATGTGTGGAGGGACTGCAACCAATTGGCGCACAGGCCCCAAATGCAAGGCAGATCCCAATTGAAGTTAATCATGACCAGCTAGTTACAGATCTAGCTGTGGCCGCAGTCTTAAAAAGAATGGAAGAGATGGAGAGGAGAAATCAACTCTAAAAAGAAGAAGATGCGCAATGGATCCAGGATTTGGAAGCTAGATTATGGCAAGCCAGGAACCCGGAACCTAGACAGGTTACAACTCAAGTCATGAATGATTTGAGGATATCAAGCCCTCGTCGTGGTGATGCTGAGCAAAGGAATAACTGAGGAAGAAACAACCTCAATCAAATAAGACATGATGAAAGAAATCGAAGGATGGTTGATAACCCGGCTAATAGCTGGGATAGGAGACCTGAAGGTATAATAAATGGAGCTGCCCAAATAAACAACACGGCTTGCATGAGAGGGAAAATAGTAGAGGTTATTTGCAAGGTGGAGCTAGAGGTAACAACATTGAAGTGCAAAAAAGAGTTGAAAACACTTGGTCATATGATCAAGAAAGACAATCAAGGAACCCAGATGATGTGTCAGGGGTATATAGAAGGAAATATCACAGGGGGCAGTACAATGATAGCCCTTTTATGGATGAAATTGTTGATGCATCCTTCCTAGAAAACCTAAATTTATTTGAATTTCTAAAGTATGATGGAACTCAGGACCCTCAAGTCCATTTGGATGCCTTTGATACAACCATGTATATCAGGGGTCTAGAGGAACCATTGACTACATGACATTTTGCAACAATTCTGACGGGGGCAGCTCAGATGTGGTTCTCGTCTTTGCAAGCGGGATCCATCAAGTCTTTTGAAGAATTTGATGGGAGATTTTTGTTGAACTTCGCTACTAGTAAAAAGCAGCAAAAATTGGAATTTGCTCTGGGGGAAATAAGGCAACAACCCGGCGAATCCCTATAGAAATACCTAGATCATTTTAAAGAAGCGGCATTACAAGTTCCAGGATTGTCAGAGAACGTTCATGTGCATCTAGTTGTAGCAGGGTTACATGGATCCTCAAGACTGGCGAAATCCATTTATAAAGACCCGATTAGAACATTGTGAAGAATCAAAGTGATAATGTGGTTTCCACATACTCAAAGTTAATGCACTTAATGATTCCACATCAACATGGTTTTGATGATAACAAACAAACTCAAAAAGGAATGCTCAAGAACGAAGCAACATCTAAAAGAAGTCAAGCAAATGTGAAAGCAATGCAAATCAAGTATCAAGTCTCAAAGAATGAAGCCAAGTCCAAGACCTCACTGATATATTCATTTAGGACTTAGGAAAGATATGTAAAGGTGTATAGATTCTAGCATTGCATAAGCTCAAGTCATACATATAGTTACCTAATCATAAAGTGCTTAAAAATCTTGGTTTAACAAGTCAAAAGTGCATCAAAAGGTCTTTAAAATAATTTAAGCACTTAAGCAACCTTGCACAGTGTAATCACACATATTCACGATCTTAAATCACTCATTTGATTTAAAAGAATGCATCTTTAAACAAACATCAAAATGAATGGTTTAATATGTCAAAATTGGTTTGGAAAGGTATTTACATGATCTAAACACTTCTAGATAGTTTCCATAACCAATTACATGTATTCCAAGCAATATAAACCATTTTGAAAGGAAAGAAATTCAGATTTCGTGCAAAAAGGATGCTGCCATGAAATATCCAGATATTGCACTCTGAATATCTGGATATCAATATTCGGATACAATATCCGAATATCAATATCTGGATACGATATCCGGATATCCATATCCGGATATAGGCTCGATAAATATCCGGATATGTACGGATCCCAATGGCTATAAATGTCTAGTTTTCAAATGAGATATCAATATAAATACCCACATCAACAGTAATGAACAGTGGACGATCATAGATCAACCATTGAACCTTTATTACTCATTCTAGTCAATTATTTCTCATTGATTACATACTTTGATCATTTCATACACTTGATCTCATCTTTCATTTAAAGCTATAC